AACCAGGATAAAAATACTTTGCTTTTGTTTAATATTTTCGGCAGTTGAGCATTCCTCCGATCAGATGCCAGAAACCTCATTCAGTCTCGCTCGTGTCCTCAAGGCCCACACGTTCTCCACAACCAGACCCAGTTACAGAATAAGGAGCCATTTTGCCGTGATGCTCCCAGCCTGCCGCAGCAGCAGATGCCCAGCCACTGCTGGGAGGGTGTTTTGGGAGGCTTAGTATTTTTGCTGGCTCTCCTGGGTTATTCTGTATTCCAGCTGCTCTTAGGGGAAGACGAAAAAAGAAAAAAGCAAAAACAAAAAAAATAAGGAGACCATGAAGTTCTAGAGAGCTTTCCTAGATGCTGCTGGTCTTTTCCATAGCGTGATTTCCGATGTGGAGAAGTCAGCGGGATTCAGTCTCTCTGGGGAGTGGGGAGGGTGTTTATCTGGAGCGTTTTCCGTTGTTTTGACTTCCCATCGGAGCCACGCGGGGTCCCGCAGGCGTCCACGAGCCTCCCTCGCTCGTCTGAAGCGATTTGGTCATGGTCCGTTTGCCAAGATAGTGCAGTTCCCCTTCAGCTTGATCCTGTTTCATCCTTACGGTTCCCAAAGGGCTGCCCAGAGGGGCTGTGGAGTCTCCTTCTCTGGAGATATCCCAGCCCCGCCTGGACACGGTCCTGTGCAGCCTGCTCTGGGTGACCCTGCTTGGGCAGGGGGTTGGGCTGGGTGACCCACAGAGGTCCCCCCAACCCTGACCATTCTGTGATTCTGTAAGCTGCCACCCTGTCTACCGACACTTAAACCTAACCTCCCATTGGGTTTAAGACTGGGCTTATCTCTTCCTTTATCTCCAGCTCCTTTTGCAGGTGCATCCCACGGGTGCCACCGCTGCAAGACGGCCATCGCTTCGCCAGCGCTTCTCCCCGCTGCCTCCTCCACCATCAGACCCTTGGCCAAGGTGATGATGTGCTCCTTGGCTCTCTGCTCCCAGCTTTGGAGATGGCGCTCTCATCCTGACTTTGGAAACCTGGTGTGGTTCTGACTACAAAAAGAGGTGAACATAACCAAATTAAACCCCCCAGCCTTGGGGCAAGAAGATGGGGCCTGCCCAGTGCCTTCCCCGGCCTCGGGAGCCGTGAGTGATGCTCAAGGCAAGCGAAGAGCATCAGCACCAGCATCCCACCACACACTCGCCAGCGCTAGCTCAGTCAACGCTTCTGCTGGGGAAGGAAAAACTGGAGAAAAAGGAGGGGCGGAAAAAACCCTCTCTGAAATTCAGGGCTTTGTCTACTGCGCTCTTCTTTGGCTTTGTTTTTGTTTTTAGGAACGGGGCTCTTGGAAACCTTGGCAATCACTGTTTTACAGGGCTGCCCCCTCCCCCAGGCCTTTGTAAGGCTGTCGGGATCGACATGCCAGGAGCAGGATTAGCTGCCGTCTCTCTTCCATCTTCTGGTTTTATTATTCTGCACCTTTTGAGGGCACGGTTTATCCCGAGTAATTAAAACGCAGTTAGCTGTACAAGTCCAAACCATAATGGAATAGCTTAGGTTTTATTTTTTTTAATCTCTTTTTTATGTGCCCTCTTTTCCAGGAAGCCTGAGACTATAGCTGAGTGATTTAAAACAGGAAGCTCCCTTGAAATACGCTGGTGTGGAAGAGCTGTTTTAGCAGAGATGTGGTGTATCAGAACCTCACGCGGGGCCAAGCAGCGCTGCGCCCGACCTGCCCCTGCCTCCGCACCACGACACGGTTCAAGTCTTCCCCCTACAGAAACCACGTAGGAAAACTTTGCTGCCAGATGCCCGGCTCCGACGCGAGGGCTGGACGGCTGCAGCATCTCCAGCAACGCCCAAAAAAGCCGCTCGTATTTTCGCTTTTCCAACGGGGACGGCTCCCGCGCCGCCAGAATTCGGTACAGCCTCATCGCTGCTGCCCGCACCGTCCCGGCGCTGGTGCTGCCCTCGCCTTCTGGATTTGTTCTGTTCCGTTACTGCCTGAACTGGCCCCGTGACAGCGAAGGAAAACACCGTGTCCAAGGGTATAATCCCACTGCTCTGAGGAGTAACGCGGAAGGCAAACCCACATTACTCACCGCACGCTCTGCAGCGGGGAAGCGCAACGCTAAATAAAAACAAAACCAGTGTGCAGGAAAACAGCCTGATTTCTGCTCGGTCGGACGCTAACAGCAGCCAGGGCACGGGGCCGCCTTCCTGCCAGGTCGGCAGCCATGGAGGAGACCTTGACCCCATCCCCGTCCCCTCATCCCACTCCTCCCACCCCCCCTTGTCCGCCCGGTACCAACCGCTGGGACGTGAAGCACGGCACAGGGAGCAGACAGGCTTTGGAGGACCGTTCTCTGCGACTAAAATGTTTGGAAAATACTGTTTATCTGCTTGCTGCCTGGCAGGGGGACATGCCAAGGGGACGCTGGGCGCCTGCTCTGTGGGACGAGATGGAGGCGAGCCAGTTCTCGGGGTTAGGGAAAGCCTGGCTTTAGGTAACAGAACAGGCCGTATTTGTCAGATCTTCTCCCTTGTTTAAGAATAAAATCAAACAGCTTTAAGGAAAGCACGCCAGCTCTCCAACAAACGAGACTTAAATATTTGCAAAATGAGCCCAGCAATTTCAGCGCAGGGCCGTGGCGGGGGAAGCGGGTGG